GCAATTGTATATCACAAGTAATGAAAATAATAGGTTTAAAATAAGAATCACACTAAATAAATTGTATGTTCTTGTATGGGGAGTTTCATTATGAATGAAGGGCAAGTGATGCATCAGGTAGATCTAATATGAATAGTGAAAGGAATGCAAAAAATGAATAAAATATACATAGGAGGTTCAAGTGAATTTAGGCAGAAATTAAGCATGGGCAAGGCTCACTATATACAAATGAAAAGTTAGGAACGCTTTTTAGAAAACTCTATGAGGGAGGAAAAATTGGATGATGGTAGTGGAGCGATAACAACGAAAAGGGTATTAGATAGCTTAAATTGAACAAATGAAAATAAAAGCCAGGGTCGTCCAAAAGCTAATCGAAGGGTGCATTTCTCCGCCGTACTCCTTTACTACTCTCGAACACCATCCACCTAAGTTGGCACATCCAGGCACGAGTTTATAGTGTGTGTGTGTGTGTGTGTGGGTGGAGGGGGAATGGGATGAAATCTCTGACTAGAAAAAAGAGAGAGAGAAGCATACAACTTCAGTTCAGATGTCTAAGATTATAGCTGAGGAGTTGTCCACAGAAAGATGGAATATAGTCTAAGACCCCTTTAAGGGTACAGCCTTCGCTACTAGGCAGGAGGTGAAAACAATCCCCGGAAGAATTGTGGCTACGAAAAAGAATGGATAGTCTGAGATGAAAAAATATTTAAAAGACATCAGGCTCTAACCCAAAATGCCACTAAGTAAACTACATCTCAGAGGGGTTTATTGAGTCCTACTCCCAGAACTATCAGTCAATGGGTTTTTAATGTCTGTGGACGAGACAGGTGGTTCAGCTAAAGCCTGGCCAGTCTGAGATTTCAATTGCTTGATTGGCGGAGAATTTGGAGTTAATTTCCCCGACGGGGAAATAGAAGGGGACGAGGAAGAGCTGGGATTTAGTTGAGAGGTCGGAGTGAAGAAAGAAGCGGCATTTTCAGATCGAGAGGAATGGTTGGAGGCATGAAGGTCAGAAGAGTGAGGTTTGGGAGACGTTTGGCCACGTATCACTTGCACGGTAGAAGCGGCCTGATCCCATAGGTAAGCCGTAAGGAATCCGCTAACTTCGGATAGCCAAACTGATGAGCGCGATTTTCTGACCGGCTTATTTGCTGGTTTCCTAGAAGTGGACGAAGATGAAGGACGAGTGAGGCGCGTGGTTAAGGCGGATAGATCGACTGCTCGTATGAGCCATGTGAGTGCAGTACTGGCAGCAGTCAATTCCTGGTTTTGATCTGGACCCCCTGCCTTGGGCCTAATGCGACGGTGGTGACGTACAAGTGATCGAGTCTGGCTAGACAGATAATTGCGGCCGAATTCAGGATCGACAGGATCTAATTTGCTTTCAGGTTCTCCGTAATGCAGGTGCAACTGGTGGTTTAGAGAGGCTACAATAGCGTTGCTGAACAAAAAATGAGTAAAACAAATGAGATTCAAGTCTGAGAATTCAACTCTAGCCATAGCTTGTTCGAGCTAGTAGTTTAAATAAATAAATAAATAAATAAATATTGTCTATGTGAAAAGTGATAAATTTATCCAGATAAGTTAAATAGGCAATAAAAATATGGACAAAAAGTTTAACTGGCTAGTAACAAAATAGTCGCTTTGAGTCGAGGGTGGTTATGAGAACGATTGGAATTAAATCATAAAAGCTTAGTGAATAGAGTATGCACCATATTTACACATATATCGAGATAGTAATCCATTATGAGCAAAAAGAGGAGCAAATTTAAGCGGAAGGAGGTTCATACTATACTTAAGCTTTTTGTATGTACCTGCGGTGGCAGTTTGGGGTATTCGCAAATAAACGAATAATGGTCATGTTGGTTTAACAATGCAATTGTTAAAATAAGTATGAGAAGCATTCTCCAATAAAAACTTTAGGCATTGTGGTAAAAACTGTAGTCTATTGAAATTCTACTATAAGCCATAGGCTAATCAAAACACTAATAACTTTGTGCAAGAGAAGTTAAGAGAAACTAGGTATTGAAGAATCACGAAATAGATTAAGGCAGTTGTACCTATCATTTCGGTTGAAAAGATCAGATAGTTAAAATGATGGAATGGATTCGTAAATTGGCATCACCGGGAACTGATGGTGATGGTAGATAAAAGCAGTATTCTATACAGTAGCTTGACGTACCGTTCCCACAGTAATTCGCTTTTCTTTTGCCCTAAGAGTTGTTGTCACTCGCCTTATTTTTTAATATTGTCAAATAGTGAGGCTTAATCCTGATATATTTAAGTGTTAATTGTGGTGATTAACTTGATATAGGCATAAACTGCTTATTAACATCGATTTCATAAGCCTTAATTTGAGTCCATCAGTATGATTAGATGAGAAATAAAGGAAAAACTGAGATTCTTGGATTTTCGATACACATGCCTATCAAATTAATTGACACAGATGTGTAATTTTTAAAGAAAAAAAGGCGAACTATTGTAAAAATGGGATAAAAACAGTATTTTTCTTCTATATAAATGGGTGGACCTCGTTGTCGCAACTTGGTCTTGTGTTCAGGAGGACTATA